AGGTATATTCAAAGCAGTGGCATCTGTTCTAGTTTTAAACTAGAAATCTCTTGATACCCACCAACAGGGAAACAGATCCTTAAATTGGGCACTGGCCACCCAACTGAATATCAGATAGCAACAAAAATGAAAGAACTACTATCATCAATAGAGGTGAGTCTTAGAAACATAATATAGAGTGAAAAAGACACAGGCCAAGATACTATAAGATACCATTTATATAAATTTCGAAAATATAAACATTCAAACTCCTTATCCATTTATGCATAAAGATAGGAATAGGATGAAAATATGAATGAAAATAAACATGAAATTCAGTACAGGGAAGGGGAAGAGGGTACACGGGGCTCCATCTCTATTTCCAATGTGTTATTTTAAAAATCTGAAACAAATGTGGAAAATATTAAGATGTGTTATACTTGGTGGTGGTTGCAAGGTATTTATTTGAGGTACTATTCTCTGGCACTTTTGCCTGCTGAAATATTTCAAGATCAACAAAGAGAAGTTAATCTGACTTTGGAGGTTTAGCGGGGCTGCTATAAGAACTAGTAAATAGTTTCATTGTTTCTTGAAGAGAAACTGCAAACTGTTCCACTCCCCAAGGAGGACTTATTCTTTAGAAGTCATTCGTTCTTCAGGACTTTGAATTCCCTTTAGCTTTTTCCATATAGGAGTTGAGATAGCTTGCAACAAAAGACACATACAATGAGCCAGGAAAACATAAACATAAAAGGAAAATCAGGATCAAAGATAACAAATATCCCATCAATAAGGGTTGACCACATTGCTGTGATCAAATTTCCAGCTTGGATCCAAAATTCTTGGCAATAGCAACCCTTCTGTCTCCAATTAACCCATAAAAGCAGGTTAGGAAAACTAACCTTTGTTTCTCAAGGTTTAAAATTAATATTTTCCCGGGAAGTCTCTCTTTATTCTATTCTGTATTTTGCCTTGTTAACTAGCCAGACCCTTATCTTCCTCTCCTGTCTTTCTCCCTCCCTCCCTTCTTCCTTCCTTCATTTCCTCCTCTTCCCTCCTTTTTTCACCAAGAATATCTGATTAAACAATCTAGGAGAACAAAACCCAGTTCTGCCAAAAAATGGATGACCAGGTCATGTTTTGGTCTGTCATAAAACAATTACTAATTGTCTTGGTTACTTTTCTCTCATTGCTGAGACCAAATACTTGACACCCAGAATTAAGGAAGGAAAGGTTTATTTAGCTCACAGTTTGTGGAGGTTTCAGTCCATACTCAGCTGGCTCCAAGGCAGAGTGGCACATGGCAGAGGGTAACAGCTCAAGGCAGCAGAAAACAGCAAAAGCAACAACCAGAGCAAAATGGAGGAGCGGCAAGCAGCCTCTTTCTCTCTCTTACATATGCAAACCACCCACCCCAGGGCGGATGTAGCACTCATACCCATAATCCCAGCATTGGATCATGGATCAATCATAAGCTCTAGAAGCCTGCCCCCTGACTGCATGAGGGGGACATCCAGACACAAACCGTAACACTAATAGAGATAAGCATGGAATGAAAGCATGGAAAGATATAGATGAATTATTATCTACTCTCTCAATAAGCATAATTACAATCAAACAAATCATAAAGAAAACAATGAGATATAACTACATGAGAAACCTTAGAAATTCCTCACAAGGAATGTAAACATTATGTACTTCAAATGTACTATATAAAAAAAAACCTTAGATAAATCAAAATTAAAAGGGAAATAAGTTGTCACTATCATTTAAATAATGACTGTCGTATTCTCTCAAAGATAACACAAGTACTATGTCCTGAGGACTCCAAATTTTATACTCTAGCCCAACCCACATTTCTCTCTTTAACTCTCAACTTTTATATCCACACCTACTTACTGCCTGGACTTGGATATTTAACAACTGTCTCAAACTCAGCACACCCAAGATAGAATCCCTCCTCCTTCTTCCAAAAGAAGCTCCATTCATAGCTCGCTTCTATCTCAGTTAATGGCAACTGGATCTTTGCAGATGCCTGAGCCAAAAACCTACACACTATCATTGGCTCCTGTCTCTCAGAGCCCACAGTCAACCTGTCAGTCAATCTCATTGGTTCTTCCTGTAGAATATACCCAAGATCCAACCGTTTCCTGACACCTCTGCTCTTCTCCTCTGATCTGAGTCAACCTTATCTCTTGCCTAGATCAGTATATAATAATACCTTCCCAAGTGGTCTCCCTAATTGGATTCTTGTTTTTTCCCTCCTGAAGTAGATTCCCTACATATTATTGATGTGAAGCCAGTCAATATTTTTATACTTGTTGTATCCATGTCCTCAATACATAGTTCTGTTCATGTGTCCATACATATTCCATGTTAGTACTTAATATTCTTCAGTATGTGTACATGTAGGCACATTTGTGAGAGTCTCCTCATCTGTGATTCCTCAAGATAACAGCAAAACAAGAAAGCAGATTGGGAAAGACAGTGGGCCATGGACAATGGCAAATGCCACATCCTTAAGTCTAACAGTGAGTGCAGGTCCTGTCCACTACTGATTAGCTGAAATATCCCTGGGTTATTGAACCTTGCTGTGGCTCACTTTTTTAATGCTCAGAGAGGGTGATCAGTATCCATGTACCACAGTACTAGGAGATTAAGTGAGGTGATGCACATAGAAGAACTTCTAACAGTGTGAGAGTTTGCTACGATCATTATTATCATTCAGCGAGAACAGGAATCTCGGTGCATTCCCTGCCCGGGTCAGGAATGGATCAGGAGCATGTTGGGGTTGCACTGGCTCCTATGCTGAGCCTCCAGTGGACTGAAGCTCAGGAAAGGAAGAGCTGATTCCATCCAGCACTATCCTTGGGCTCAGGTGCACATTCAGCTAGCTGTAGATTCGACAGCACGCCTAGTGGCCACCCACAGATCTCGCAGTACACTGACCACCAGCTCCTGACCAGGACAGGGACAGGGTATCTCCCTAACTGGGGGAATTTGGATGGTTCTACTTTTGAGGCAATCACAATTTTCTGTTTCTACTTGAGATCCCTTTTGGAAAGAAAGCCATCCTTCAGCACACACTAGCTTGAAATGTGGTCTGCACCTCTTTTCCTTCCCTGAAAACCCTGGGAAGCCCAAGTGGAAAGGAAATCTGTTCAGAGATCACCCCAGGAATCTCCCTCCCTTGGTCACACAGCCAGTAGACCCAGGCCCTCTGGTCCTTTCGTGTGGGGATCATTCTCACTTAGGAACTCCAGAAAATGAATGGGTTTGCAGGCTAGAACTAGATGAGAGAACACACCCACTGGGAGTTTGGGATCAGACAAAATGATCCAAGAAGTAGAAATGAGCATAGTACAGGCAGACAAGTAAGTAGTGACTAGAGCAGGGAGGAGCAGGGAGGTCTGGTCTCAGGAAGAAGACAGACACGACTCCTAGGCCGGCAGCACAAGGCCTGGATGGAGCGCTGGGCAGGCTCACTGCCAGTTCACTGAGGGCGGTGACCTTGGGTTCTTCAAGTTCCCAGAAGGACTGGGGAGGCCTGAGAACGCATGTGACGGTCCAGCGTTTGTGGCAGGGATGGGTTAGGCAAGGAAAGGAGGGAAGCTGGACAGATTATTATTTAAACAGCCAGTCATTTGCAAAGCCCAGAATGAGCAGTGGTTCCTAACTCCTGACACGGCACAGGTTCTTACTTCTTTCCTAGCTACTGGATCTCTACGAGAAAGGTATGCTTGAGTGTCTTCTCAGCACTTCCCTCAAGCTGGGGTCTCATTTCTATACTGAACAATGAACTTCAGGAGAGAGCACCGTGCACCAGCCCGATGAGAAAGGGTCCGTCTTTCAGTTTGGAGAGGCAGAAGGATCATCAAGCAAGGCTCCTATCTCTTTTGTTTTTTTTGGTTTTTGTCTTTTTGAGACAGGGTCTTTCTATGCAGTTCAGGCTGGCCTTGAGCTCACTTTGTAGCCCAGGCTGGTCTCGAACTCGCAATGATCCTCCTGCTTCAGCCTCCAGAATGCTGGGATGACAGGCATGAACCACCAAGCCCAGCTCCTATCTCTTCTTGTTCTACGGCACCAACCCTACAGTTGAACCTGAATCCCAAAGAATAATAATAATCGCCCCATTTACTGGGTGCCCATTGTATGCCAAGCTTTACGAGAATGGCTCGGCACGTACTGTCACTTTGGAGCCTCACAACAACCTTAATGCTTAATGAAGAAGGCAGCGTTATGAGGAGACAGGATGGGATGGGTCATAAATTAATAAGTTGGTAGCTTAAGTGGTAAAAACAGAATGACTTAAAGGGCTGTGATCAGAAAAATTGTATTCACCTGCTAACCTTGAACAGTGCTTCTGCAGGAGGCTGACAGAGCTCTGAAGAATGACCTTTCTAAAGACTGCAGTTAGCAGAGTATTCCTCCTCCTTTCAAGCATCTCCTCGTGGCTTCGCCGTCTTGCATCTTCTCTCGTTTTCCCACATCCTGTGCATCTGCTGACAAAAATCTGAGCAAGTAGGAGAATTCCTCTGACTGACCTGTGAGATTGTTTTGCTAAAGCTGTGTCATTTCTAGCTCAGTAATAGGCTGCACCCACCTTCCTAGTCACCACAAATGAGGCCAAACCTCTGCTCATGGCTTCTTTACCTGTTTGATCTTCAAATGCAATTGTTTGCATCCTTAAGACTTCTGAGGTGCAGGCTTACGTGCACACCTACAAAAAGAGCCACCCGGAAGTCAACAACAGAAAGGAACGCCTCAGAGAAACAGACTTGCTGGTTTGGAACTGCATCCTGTATCCCACTGCCCGCCCCCCCCATCCTCTAACAACAAGCCTTTTCCTCCTGTCCCAGCACCGTCTCATTTCCATATTTTCCACCCACATTGACGCCCAGGACCTCCCGTAGGGCCGAGCCAGCATCCCGAGGAGAACAGGGTCCCGCTCCCACATTGGTGATAGATCTAACAATAAACAACGACATGACAATGCTGACCGCAGTAAGGAAGCAAACACGTTTTTTAAACTAATGTATTCAGTTTATTCTTTACTCATAAAAAAGAGCATATTTTTGGCTTTGAAATCATGACATAAATAAAAAAGCAAACACATGAAAATTATCAACTGAAAGTAGGTATAAGCAACCCATGCTCACCCATCAGCGAATACTGTGTGCTTCGGGCTCCAGCAGTGGCACCAGCCAGCAGAGGCACTGCCAACCTCACACCCGCGCCTCCTTAGTTCCTGGAGGTCGCTTGGCTAAGCTATACAGGAAATGAAAGAGTCCTCCCTTTCTCCTGCTTTCTTTCTTAACTTTTAAATTTGGGACAGTAGGCAGGAATGCTTTGCCGCTACTCTTTCTAGTTTGTAGGATAGCGTTGTCGTTGTTTTAACAGGCTTAACCTGCCTATTTTCAACCTTGAAAAATAAAACTGCCAAAATTGACTACAACAAAGAGCCATCTCTATTTTTGGTCCGTTATCTGCTGCAGGCAGAGCTTCATGTAGGAGTTCTTATTGCGGATTTCTATGACCGCGTCCCTCACAAGTTCAATGAACATCTGCGGCCAAAGTTTCTGCAGAGCTTCATTCTTCATATTGACTTCTGTGGCTTCCTTCATAAGGTCCTCTATGTACATCTTGCAGAATTTCTTTTTTTCTTTTATATCCTATTTGTTAAAAAAGAAAAACTCATATTACTTCATAACTAATCTGAAAGCCAAAGCCACCATTCGATGAACCAGGAAGTAGAAATATTCTATTCTGATCCCTTCTTCCTCTCCCACCCACCGTTTGTTTGCTTGTCTGTTTGTTTGGTTTTTTGGTGTTTTTTTTTTTTTTATTGTTGTTGGTGTTTGTTTTTTGAGACAGGGTCTCGCTATGCAGTTCGGGCTGGCCTTGAGTTCACTCTGTAGCCCAGGCTGGTCTCGAACTTGCAACGATCCTCCTGCCTCAGCCTCCCGAGTGCTGGGATTACAGGTGTGTGCCACCACGCTCGGTACTTCCCCCCCACTCTTCAGAACAGGAATTCTTCACTAGCCACTCATGACAGAGCGCCTTGCTTGAGTCCAGCCAAAGGGAGCTCACTGTGCTCCAGCCACTCCTGCCTCTGATGAACAGCTCTGTTAGAAAATGTGTTTGTTTACTGCCATCCTGGATGGTAACCATTATCTCTCCCATTTTAGTTCAGGTGGCTTAGCTCATATTGTCAGCTGAAAGCACAGTCTCATGGGGTTGTGTGGTTAATGTGTCAGGGTATGGACACTGGTGATTTAAATTGGTACAAAACTTCAAATACTCATACCCTGAATTTACCCTCCAGTATAGAAAAGCGTATAATGGAACATTACACTAACATATGTGGCCCAGGCCATTGGGACAAAGTTGGAGAAAATATACCAGGAAGAAGAGGAAATACACACCAGTGTGGGACCCAGAACGTGGCCTTCTAAAGAAACAGGGCTCCCACTCAACTTCTGGGTCTGGCAATCTGCAAGTGAAAGACCTGGTTCTAAATGCAACAGGGGAAGTTTGGCCCAGAGGATATTTGGGCATTTGGCCCCAATTTTCTAGAGGCTAGAAAGCCATTTTGCTAGAAGTATAGCCCTGTGGTAAAACACTTCACTAGCAGGTGTGAGTTCCTAGATTTGATCCCCATTCCTCCAAAAAAAATCCATTTTGTATAACGCAAGGATATGTATTTTGGCTATTGCTACTTCTGGAGGGTATCAAGTCATGATCATGAGAGGGTCATAATATATGCGGAAAACAACACAACACATCAGATGATCAGAACTGTAAGGAAGAACTTCATGTCAGTGAAGGAGGAAAGAAATAAGAAATGCTAACAAGACAACAGATTTAGGAAAAGGAGCCATTTAAATTTCCAGTGGAAATCCAAATACCCAAATAATTTCAAGGTGAATTAGAGTTAAATTAAAAATTTTACCACTACTGTCATCAAAAGTACACTTCAGAAGATTTGCAATAAGAAAAATGCTTATATTATAACGTTAAGTAAAAAAAGAAAACTCATGGAGTTTTGATAAGGTTTGAGTTAGGAGTGAATATACTTGTCAGGATTCAGTCTCGGCATATAAGAGATTTACACATCAGTATATAAATTTTAGCTCTGATGAGGAAACTGTATCAAATATGGAACCTAATTAATGGGTGCTGAATTATTTAGGGAGAAGCAAACTAATATTGGCAATTATTTTGAAATGAGTTTTAAAAATGTGGACACAGGGATGGATGGAGGGATGGGGAGACACCCGGTATGAGATGGAGCAAGCGTGCTGCGGGTATGATGTTAACAGTGCAATGTAGGTTTTGAGTGTTCACTGCACATCCTTTTGACTTAGCTGTATGCTTGAAATTTGTATGAAAAAGTTAGAAAAGAATGGATAGAAAACCACTTCATATACTGAAGCATATTAAGGCTGGGTTGTGAAACTTTTTTTTTCTATTTTCTATCTTTCTTTTCCCAAATGTTTGCCATTTTTAAGACAAAAAAGTTTTAAATTCCTCACTGATGAATGTCAATTAACGAGTCCATTGTCCTATTTCCCTAGCAGAGGCGTATTTTGGAAATATTCCTCTGATATCTAAGACATATCAAAATAATCACTCAGCGTGCAGGGGTCAGCATGCTGATTTAATGCAGTTCATGTGCGAAAGCAACAGGCCACTGGGTTGACCTAGCCATAAAAATATGAAGAGATTTTGATGATGAGAAATAATAAACACTTCCAGCTGGCTCCTTCTCCGATAAATGTACTTCTTGACTCTAAAACACAGCCTGGGATTCAGTCACCTGTGCTGAGTGAGCTAGCTGATGAGAGCAAGGCTGGCCTCTCCCTTCCAACTCTCAGTCCACCTGGGCTGCGAGGGGCACCCAGAAGGAGTGACACGCCTGAGTCACTGGAAAGCCACAAGCACAGTGAGCAATATTTTACAGCAAGCCATGCCTTTGTCCAAGGGAAAAGCACTACACATACTTAGTGGGAAAAAAAAGTTCCATGAAGACCAGATGAATTTTTATAATAATTTAAGGATAACAAAAGTCAACTTTTAAATGATGCATTTTGTTAAATCATTTATACATAATGCAGGTGACAATAAACATTTTGTAACTGACACAGTATAATTCTGGGAGTTCAAATTTTTCCTGTGATAGTTTCTTCCATTGTTTCTCCATGAACATGTTGATACAGACTTTACACTTGTTGTAATAACCTTTAATTTAGTAATGGTGTTTGAAAGCATTTTTAATTCATTTCCCCTCTCCTCCGAGCCAATTACTGTACATTTCTTCAGAGTGCACCCTATAACTCGTCAGCAGCTGCCAGAACAACTCACCCTGCCTGTCCAAAACGATCTTGTCAAAAGCACAAAGAGATACATGCACTCGTGCCGTGACCTGCTAAGGCATTGCTCTTCCTTGGGTAAGCTTTTTTCCATTCTCAGATGCTTTCACATGCTTATTTCTTTTTATCTCACAATATGACCATGGGTTGGTTCACAAAGCAAGTACTTTACAAGTTCAACACTGATGAGCTGAACTCTATACAGTATTGTTTATATTATTTCTTTGAACTGGAGGTTTGTTATAAAGATGGTCTGGAAAAACTATGGGTCAATGGTGGGATTTGTTATAGAAGCAATTCTAACGACAATGGCCCTTGCTTTAGGATTTAATCTATGTTTTCACTTGAGAAATGGGAAACTTGGTTGAGAGACTTGCTCAGGATTAGATATCTGTTACAAAATGCTTAGAGAAAACTCTAACCTCATTCTTGAGGAACTGGTAGGCCAGTTGGAAGATGGTCTACACACATAAAAAGCCAACAACACAACAAAACCCACTAATATATGCAGAGTGAAATGATCAGCCAGAAAATCTACTCAGCACTCAGAGATAGAGTGCTCTTTGGACTGGGGCAGTCAAGAAGCCTTCAGAAAGTACCACAGAGGACACTGTGAAAGAATCCAAGACCGGCAACAGGAAGGTCTTGCTACTGATGGACTCAGTCAATAATCCACTACAGGACTCTGAATAATTTGCCTGAGTTTCCACTCTTCCTCATCCGTCTATGGGCAGTATTTGATTCTGTAAAATCCCTGGCAGTGCACTGACTCTATGGCCACCTTACCTCTACTCTCAGACAAGTCAGAAGAATAGGAGTATTCCAAAGCAACAGACCTTTAACTTGCATAAACAAAGTCTGCTTAACCTGACTTGTGAGGAACACACCTACATTAACTTTCCCAAGAGAATGAGCACTTTGCGTTGCAGCGATTTAAGTGGTTTTCAAGACATGGAACATAGTGTGAGCGGAGGGTGGTTAAGGGCTTGGGCAGGGTCTCTCAGGTAACGAGTGGGAAACAGGGGCTCAGATCCAAGACTCTTGATCATCAGCCTAGCTAGTGTTCTCTCCAAAATATTAGGTGGCGTCAGTCCTTCCTTTTCCCTCTGCATTTTCTCAGAACAGGAGTCAACATTCCCTGTCTTTACTTGTTCCCTGCTTATTAATTGATCAAACCACTTTAATCAAGACTTTGCTTATATGACTTCATTGAGGTATTTTCCATTAAAAAAAAACTAACGGCCTTGACTGCCACACTAATCAAACTTTCTTCCTTTATAGCTTGTGCCCTTGGAGTGTTAAAAAATCATGTCCTACCTAACCAAGGTCATAAAAATTTTCTCTGATTTTAAAAATAAGAACTTTAAAGTTTTATGTTTCAAACTTGGGCTTGTATTTGATCTGGAGTTAATTTTTTTGTTGTAGATTGTGAATAGGTTCAGTATGTTTTTCTGACTGGATAACTCATTTCCTCACTATCACCTGTTAAACAGTGCTAGTTTGTAATGCTTCCTATATGTGTCTGCACAAGCTTCCCCATGTGCATGGCACAGGTCCAGCTCTCTGTGTTGTCCACAAGTCTTTGTGTTTGTTTTGACATTGCATAATTACAACAGCTTTACAATCATGTTTGATACGTGATAAGGCAAGTTCTCCTTGTCTCTATTCTGGCCTATTTCAGGCCTTTTGCTCTATTTTAGGATCAACTTACTTTAAAAAGCCTCAGCAAAAACATTTTTGGTGTTTTTATTGGGCTAATATTAAATTTTTTTTAATTAACTCAAGGAAAATTGATACATTTTACATGAGGTCAAAATATGGTGATCTTTCTATGTTCTTTGTTAATGTTTTAAAGTTTTCTTTATACAGATCTTTCATATTTATCATTATTTTATGTTAGTCCATTCTGCACGACTATAATGAAAGACTTGAGAGAGATTACTTTATAAAGAAAAAAAGTTTATCTTTGTGCACAGCTCAAGAGGCCCAAGGCTGAGGGCTGCAGCCAGTGATAATGGTTTTGCTGGCAGAGTCCGAGACAGTGCAAGGCACCACATGGTGACAGAGGGGAGTGGATGTCTGTCTGTCTGTCTTTTTCTTTCTCTCCTTCCTGCTGCTTAATTCCACCACATATTCTCTGCCATGATGTTCAGCCTCATCACAAGCCCAGACACAATGGAGCCAGGCAACCTGAACGAAAATAAATCTTTCCTCCTTAAGTTAATTTCCTCAAATATTCTGTCACAGCAATGGAAATGTGACTACCACAATATGTGTCCTTGTCTTGATATTGACTTCAGTGATGTGTTAGTGTTCTACTATTGTGTAAAAAATGACCTCAAACTTGGCAGTTTCAAACAACACCCATCTATTATGGTTTCTCCACATCCGAAATCCAGGTGTGATGTACCTGAAAATATTAAATGAATATTCTAGAAGCACAATTTATAGCTTTTGAATAATCCTTATAATAGTGTTACATTATTCACTTCATGACTAATTATTGTTGGTCGTCTTACTGTGCCTAATTTATAAATTAAACATTATTATAAGTATTTACTTATGTATGGGAAAAGCATATGGGCATGTCAGTTTCAGCACTATCCATGGTTTCACTTGAAAAGTGTTCCCCAAGGACAAGGGGAGGGCTTACTGCGTCTACAAAAATGCAGTTTGCCATGCCACGCCATAGTCCGCTGGTTAGAAGTAAGTTACAGGTCTTACTCACCTGGAGGGGAGGGGCTTAGGAGAGGGCGCGCTTATGTGTGCACCAGGGCTGGGAGTCACAGAGGCCATCTTTGCCTTATACCTCCGAGCAATGCTAAGCTTCCAGAGGTTCCCAACCAAGCATGAGACCTGCTACCCAACTTCTCTGTACTCCATTTGAATGTAAAAATCAAGAATAGGTGTGAAATTGCTTTTCAATGTATACAGAAATGATCATTTTTAACCTTAGATCTATTAATTACATTAAATCTTTCTGGCATTTTTAGAATGAACTGCAATGGCTGTAATGTTTGTCATCCACTTAATGTTCTGCTGTCCTTTGCTCGCTAACATTTTAAAAGGGTGTTTGGGGCCGGGGATATAGCTCAGTGGCATAGCACCAGCCTGGAAAGTGCAAGATCATGAGTTCAATACCTGGTACCAAAAAAAAAAAAGAAGAAGAGTTAAAAGGGTGTTTGTAGTCCTGGGGGGTTTTGGAAACAAAGTTATCCTGCCTATCTTGAAAAACTGGAAAAAATTTTCCTTCTGTCAATACTCGTAAACAATTTAAAATCACTATAACTATCTATTCTTGAAGACTTAGTAGACTTCTCTGGGAAACTGTCTCTGTTTTTCATGCAGCTCTTTAACATGTCTCTAATGGAAATTTGTTCTTTGAGATTCTCTGAATATATATATTATTTATTTGGCTCACACAACCACCTGTATCCAGGAAGAGGGTGCACAATCCTGCCAGCTTGGCTTTCATGTTTCTCCTCTGTCATCACCAGGAAGCCCCTATTGACCAAATAATTATGCTCAGTCTGTTTGATATAGCCCTGTACCTTTCCAACTCCATCTTAACAGTCTACCTCCCACCCTACACTAACAAGGACTTTCTTATAGTTTCCATCACCTTATCTGTGTTATGCCTCTCACTGTTTTATTCATATTGTTTTGTTTACTCCTTTCCCTTTGTTATATAGCTCTATTTTATCCTTTAAGACTTGTACCAGAGAGTATCTTTTCTAGAAAGCCTCCTTTGATCTGGCTTATACAGCCCTCTACTCTCTTGGTCTACTGATTTACAATTATTCCCATCCACGTCTATCTCTTCCACTGTGATGTGAGTTCCATGAGGGCAAAGATGTCTTCTTATGCACTAGTATATTACACACTGTGTACGACAGGTGCACAAAATAATTCTTGAGTCAGTGAAAGCATAAATGTAAAGAGAGCTAAGAAGACATGGAGCTGACATCAAGTATTTGAAGAGATTTATTCTCTATACATATGGAATGTGAATCACCAGAGAAAGTTGCTACTCCTAGTAGATTTAATCTTCAAAAGGGCAAGAATTTCTTCACATTTGGAGTTGTTCGATTATAGATAACTACCTCTCGAAGCATTGATCTTTTTCTTTTTCCCTTTTTTGGAATGTGTGTGTGAGGCTGGGGGGGACGCTGAGGATCAAGCCCAGGGCCTTGGGCATGCTAGGCAAGTGCTCTACCACTGAGCTACAGACCTTGCCATTTCTTTCGCTAGGAGAGTTTCAACCAGAATCGGACAATCTTTTAGGATGCTAAGAAACATTATTGCATTGAGTTTTCAAGTAATTTTTCAAGCTGTAATCCTTAGAGCTCTATGGATTCCAGACATTTCAGGATTGGGAGGGGGTGAAGGGAAAGGAAGAGACTACAAGAAACAATCAAATGAAGCTCTACATCCACTATTCTCCCTACAAACAGCATTTCTACTGTGACACAGTGGGCTTTTAGCTACAATGTGGCTTAATAAATAATTGTACAATTGTTAAAAAAATGAGTAAACCAGTTTTCTGGCCATTTCACTTCTCATATATATATATATATATATATATATATATATATATATATGAAATATAAAGGATTAGATTTCTGTATGAATTTGTTTTTGTGAAATAGGATTTTGCTATGTAATTTGGGCTGGTCTTGAACTCATTATGTAGACCAGGGTGGCCTCCAACTTGCAGTGATCTTCCTGCCTCAGCCTCCTGAGTGCTGGGATTACAGATATGTACCACCTATATGCATGTATATGCCCCCACACATAAATATATATACATATCTGTGTGAGGAGATGTATCTTTATTTCTGTCTTTGGGGATATATGTATATAGGTGGAGAAGTATTTAGCTCTTTCGCTTGGTATTCCTTGATCATTATACCTAAACATAGCTTGTGTGAGGAGATATGTAGATACAGCTACATCTGTAGTAGGTATACCTCCTCATACAGCCCCTTGCACAGAAGTTATAGATGCCCAACAAACGTATCTGCACTTTGGTCCTGCAAAAATCTTTTGAAGAATCTTAACACTCTGATTATTTTAGATGCTTGGTTTCTTCAGCTTTCCTATGAGCCCTACCAAGGTGTGCACTGCAGGGTTTTCATCTCTGTCACTCCTGCAGCATCATAATACTGTATCACCCCAACAAACCTCTAAACACATAAAGAACTACAAAGGGCTGGCTCCAGTTTTCCTGGTTAGCTAGCTCTACTGGGAACAAAAGAGGTTATATTACACGATTAAGAACACAGAAGTTCATGGAATAGAATGGAAGACATGAATTAAAACCTCAAGAGTCCACAATGAGGTAACAAAAATGGAGATTTTGCTGTATCTTCTGCTGGTTTGATAGGGGCCAGTCAGGTACCCACACACAACTTTATCTCTTTTCTTAATCCGGATACAGCAGAATCCTTGGTCCTACCTTGGCCTAAAGTTTTGGTACAGATTTCTTTTCAACATCTTTTCCCATTGAAAGAAAGACACTGAAACCATAGCTCTTCTTCATCTCCCAGTTCTATTTTTTCCTAGTTCCTTGGTATATACTGTTCCCAGCTCTATAGGGAAGAAGGGCAATAGGTACAACCCCATAAGTCCCAAGCTGTGTAGGAAATATATGGGTACTAGAGGTTCCAAAGATGAATGGTATTTTACCTCTAACTTTTCATTATAAAATTCCCTTGTGGTATAATTTAGTGTAGCACGATTTGTGTTTTCTCCTACAAGTCTTTTGCTGTCATTATTTTCCTCATTGACAATACCAGGTTTTTTCCCTTTGGTTTCTAGTAGATACCGGAATTGCTTTTTCCTGCAGAAAAATAGTGAAGAGAGTTAGAAAATTATTTATCTGATTTATTAAAATATATCCATTTTTAAACTTCAGAGGGGAGCATATGCCCTTTTGAACAAAATTTATTATTTAAGCTCAGTTTGGTATCCCAATTTTTCTAATTAAGCTATTCAACTCAAATTCTTTTGTTCTATAATTATCAGTCATCAATATAAACATGCCTGAAGCATTTCCAAAATAAAACAAAAACCTCTGCCTCAATAAACATCAATACAAAAATTAAATAATTAGAGCACAAAAGAACCAATCAAAGAGGTAGTGGACTAAACTTTCAAAGTCTTTACATCCTATAAAATATGTTAATCACCTCTTATAAATCACACAAATGGTTCGTAATTCCATTATTCAGCTTCATAGCCTTGTTCACAGCCAGAAAATGGAATGGGATACTTCCTTAACTTTAGGCAAAAGCCAAATGAAAAACCAAAATTCTCCAGCTGTCAGCATATCCCTCAAGAACTAGTAGGTGGGTTAGCAGGGACGTTGGATGCCTCTGGCGAGCTTGGAGGGCACATAAACTGTGCTCATGCTGCCGCTTCAGTGCCATCAGCGCAGATATCCTGCATGAAAGCCAATTTCTGGTTCTCACCACTTACCGTATCTCTTAATCAAGAGATATTGCTACTTCACTGGGAACTGAAGATTGGGAGTAAAGAAGGCACTTTTAAAACTTCTTGTTTGCATTTAAAAGGATAACAATTATTTTAGAAATTTGGAGAAGCACAAGATTTGGTAAAAGGTGAAAGATTTATATGATCTGAAGAGAAACCAGAGTACAAAATTTGGAAACTATAAAGAAATATATAAAAATCACCCACCAGGCTATAGCTCATAAATCTATATAAATCTATAGTATTATCCACATTTGATATATATTTTTGAGCAAGCTTTTCCCATAAATTGTAGAAAAGGTAAGATTATGCTAAACATTCTAATTTATACACTGTTTTTACTGAATATTACGTGATAAACATTTTCTAGGCCATTAAAAATTATAATTTCTTTTTTTTTTTTCCCCCTGGTACCGGGAATCGAACTCATGACCTCGCGTTTGCCAGGCAGACGCTATGCGACTGAGCTAAACCCCCAGCCCCCAAAATTATAATTTCAAAGAATGAATAAAAGTCAACTGGAATATAGATCACAATTTATCTAATCGGTCCTTGCTAACAAATATTTAAGTAATATAATTTTCTTGCTTTTGTAAAGAAAAAAGTGAGTTGTATATTTTATTTGTATTTTTTTTTTACTGAGTTTTAAATCACAGAGCAATCCTATACACATTTTATATCACCTTTATTAGTCTTTTCAAATAATCAACTTGCCATTAATTCTGTTTGAACACTATTTTCTTTAACTTTCTTCAGGACTACTTTGCTGTTCTTTCTCTAATTTTGTGAAATACATTTTTAGCTCATTAATTTTCAGCCTTTATTCTTTTCTATTAAATCTAACTCAAGACTATACTTAGCCCTGCTGCAGCAATTCTGCAAAATTTGAAAGCTTGTATTTTATTCTACGTCAGTACAGGTGGCTTCAAATGCCCATTTTGAATGTCTCTGACCTGTAGATTATTTGGAAATGTGCTCCTTGATTTCCCAAAATATCAGGAAATATTTATCTTTTTATTAAAATTGGGTTAATTTTAATTGCTTTTTAAAGTTTTTATTTTTTGTGGTCTGGGGATTGAACTACAGCTTTTACACTGAACTACATCCACAGCCTTTTACCAAAAAAAATTTTTTTTTCTTTTTTTGAGACAGGGTCACTAACTTGTTAAGTTGCCCAAGGCTGGGCTTGAATCTGCAACTTTCTTGCCTCAGTGCTTCAGAGTACTAGAACTACAGGGATGTGCCATCATACCCCACTTTACACTGCATGTTGAACAGACAATATGCTCCATATGATCTTAATTCCTTGCGATCTATTGACATTCACCATCTGGGTGTATTTGGTCAACTTTAGTACATGTCCTATGAATGCTTGAAAACAGTGTGTGTTCTGTAGTTATTTTGGACAAAGTTTTCAGAATGTCTATTAGGTTGAATGTGTTATCATGTTATATAAGTATGTTACATCCTTTTCCTCTCCTCAGAAGTGATTAAAACTTCTGTGAATTGTGTGTTATAATTCTGTCAATTTTGGAGTTACAAGTTTCTAAGGCTACGCTAACAGATGCGTACATTTTGAAGTGATCCTCTTTTGTTTCTAGTGATGTCTTTGAACCCTGAAGTTCTTTTAGTCTTCAGCAGCTACTATTTTTCAATTTGGGTAAGATTGATGTTTATCCTCTCCTGTTTCTTACTTGCAAATTTTATGTGACTTTATGTTTCAGATGCATCTCTTATAAATAACATGTAGTTTTATTCTACCTGACAACCTTTAGATTTTAATCAGAACAATAGTATGCAGCCATGTGCCATGTAACGCCATTCTGGTCAGTGACAGAGTGCATACAGGATGGTGGTCTCAGAAGACTGCATCACCTAGGGACAGAATTGCCGAACAAAGTGCCTCTCAGACCCGAATCCCATCATGAAGGAATGCATGACTGTGTTTATCATTTTAGTAGCTTGATGAGGTCATGTTACAATTTCCTTAAATGTTTGTCCTCTAGACTGAGATTTCATATTCCTGGGCTGCTCCGTATTACCCTGTGCCTTGTTTTGACCCAGAGAATGTAGCTGAGGACTGTATGTCTGTTTGTAGCACAGGCTTCAGTAGGCCTTGCGTATTTCTACTCTCTCTGAACCAAGCTTTCTCTGCCATGAGAAAAAAACCCAGGAGGAGGATGGGAGCCCATGGGGAGCAGAGACGAGTCGTCCCTTCCTAGACAAAGTTACATCCAGCCAGCCCCCAGACAAGTGTGAGAGCCCAGGTTGGACCAGCAGAGCTCCCACCCAAGCCAGCAGTGACTGCAGACGCAGGAGGACCCCAACAGAGTGTGGATGTCCCACCCAGATAACTCGCAGACTCAGAGAAAGAAACACTTCTTGTTCTACAGCAGTGAGTTTTGAGGTGTTGGTTACCTAACAATAGCAAAGTGATAGAAAAATAACTGCTTAGGTAGCACTACTTAGGCCTAATCTACTATTGTGGTGTTTATATTTAATTCACATACTCTACGTCTCTTTTCTCTTTGTCTTTTTACCTTGTTCTCCTCCCTCTTAACAGTTTAGAAGGTAGACGTACTTGTTTACTCTTGGTTTACCATAGAAGTTATAATTTGAACTCTTACTAACATTTATGCCTTCCTAATACTATAGGATTGATTTTAGTTCTTTATTTGGAAACTTCATACCATGTTATTATTGCTGCTTTATGCTGTCAATGTTCATTTAGTTTTATCTAACATATCTGATATACTTTCCTTGTTATCTAGCTCTCTTGTATTTCAGCTCTTCTAACTGGGATCACCATTCCACCTTAATTACAAGCTTTCTAATTTGCTATAGTATAGGAATAGTAATGAGAACTCTCCTAGCTTTTGTTTCCATTATTTTTTTTCAAAAGGTCTTTATCACATCTTCATTCTTTAAAACATTTTTCTATATACAGAATATTAAGTTGGTATCTAATTTCCTTCCTATCCTTGAACATAGCACTATTCATTATCTTGTTCTTTTGGCCTCCACTACCGCTGTGATAAAGTCAATTGCTGGGCTGCACTTGTTTGAAGATAGTCTCTCTTTTCCTAGTTGCTGAAAAACTTTTCACTTCATATTTAGTGTTTTGTAGTTTCACTGTGATGTGGCCATTATGGATTTCTATTTACCCCATTTAGGATTTGTTGGATTTATTTAATTTGTAAATTAGTATGTTTTGTCAGTTCTGAAAGAAAAATGTTGCCATTGCCTCTTCAAATATTGTCTCTATGCCATGCCCTTTAGCGTGTTTTTTGAAACTCAAAACAAACAGATGTTAAGCCATCTATCTCCGTCTGCTCTCCAAATTTCTTAGTCACTTTCCCACATGTTATCTTCTTTTGTTTTTGCATTGCAGCTGGAAACTTTCCCCTAGTATATCTCCCAGTTCATCAAATCTCTTTTCAAGGGTTCCTAATCAGCTGTTAGAACTTCTCATTCATTTTAACATTTATTATATTTTTCCTGTAGGTACTTTCCCTTGGTTTTCTCTCAGACTGGCTGGATCACTTAAAATTTTTTTTATTCTCTCCTGATTTTTTCAAGCTTATGATTTATTTCATAAAATATAGGAGGCACAGTCAGGTTATCATCTATGAGTTATATATCCAGTCTTCCTGGGTCTCTTCCTATAGTGTCTTTTTTCTGCTTTTATCTATAGGGATGCCATATTTCCTTTTGTGGCTAGTTACTTATCGTTCTTCATGTGTGTGTGTGTGTGTGTGTGTGTGTGTGTATGTGTGTGTGTGTGAGTAGAGACTGAACCCAGGATCTCTGTACTGAATGACATCTCCAGCCCTTTATTTATGTTTTATTTTGAGACATAGTCTTGCTCAGTCACTAGGTTGCCCACACTGGGCTTGAACTTTTGATCCTGCCTCAGCCTCCCAGTGTGCTGGGATGACAGGCATGTGCCATCACATGGGGCTACCAGTATTCTTAACCATTATCCACGGGCAGTCTATGAAACTGTATGAAAGTGCTTTCCTCCCGAGATATGTAGATATCCACATATCTAGAAATAGTAATGTTTAAAATTTGATTTTAAATTACCTAAGTGTTACAAATTCAGGCTGCAGATCTTGAGGGCTGTCTTTTGTTTCTGTCTTCTCAGGGACCACTTTCTCCTTTTCTAATCACAAAGGCAGCTTCCCTTAGGAAATCCTGACAGTAGGGGCAGACGTAGGCTTGGTTCTGACACGCCTTTATGCTATGGCATAGCCCCTGGGTGAACCTTGGGAAGATTTCAATTCACATTCAGCACTTTAGATGGGGTCCTGGGCTTTGGTTGCCATCATTCTTGCTGTGTGAGGGTAGCAAAATAAAAACTTGTTTCCCTGAAATGCCTCCAGGCTAAACCCAACCTCTGTGATATTATGAAATATATACCAGTTCTTCCTTCTCCCTCCCTTCTCACCTTCCTTCTTCCCTTCCTCCTGCCTTCCTTCCCTCCCTCCTTCCTTCCTTCCTCCTACTCCCCGCCCCGTTTCATGGCAAAAACTCCTGAACATTAGAAATTGCAAAAGTGATGAGTCTTTCTATGCTAATGAGATGAGAGGGGACTTCCGTTTCCGGGTAGGTGCAGAATGGGTACTGGTCACCAGGAAGCCCAAGCAGGCACTAGGAGAGGGTTGATGTGTCCATCTGTGTCTTATCTGCCCTCATTGCTCCATCTCCTGATTAATTCTAATAGTTTAGCATTCAGATTATCTGAAAAGTAAAGTTTTGCTTTTAATGGTCACTTATTCTATTTTCAATTTCTTACTTCTTTAAAAGTTATTGTTACCTTCATGAATATCTTCTATTTTCTTCTCCTTTTTTTCCTTTTAGTTTCTTGCAGTGTACTTTTGTACTTTTGTACTTTTCTTCTTTCATTCCTTTCTAATCTTTCTTGGTTTCTAACAAGTATGTTAAAGATGTATAATTTCTTCTCAGTACAGTTTTAGCTACATCCAAGAGGTTTTGACATATAGTATACTAGTTCTCCAATACATTTTTAAATAATTTATTATTTCAACTTTAATTTCCTCTTTAATTAAAAAAGTTAAAGATTTTTAAAAGTTCTTTAAGAAAAAAGGAATACAAAGAAAGAACAAAAACCAAAACAGAAAGCTGGGTTTAGTGGTACATGCCTATAATTCCAGCACTCAGGGGGCTGAGACAGGAGGATCACTTCAAGTTCAAGGCCAGTCTGGGCTACATCGTGAGTCCAAGGCCAACCTGAACTGCATAGGACAGTGTCTCAAAAACAAAACAAAAAAACCCAAAAAACAGAAATACCAAAACAGAACAAAACCTAAAAAGAGAATTCAAGAAGTATACAGAGTAAAAAGTGAATATCTCTACACTTTCATATCTTAGTATTCCCTATTCAATACTTAGAAGATTTTTTTAAAAATCAAACATATTTAAATTGCACAGGCATATCTCTGAAACATATATCCCATTTCTCACAACTGAAGTATATTATATAGTTATTCTATACCTTGTATTTTTACTTTCTGAGAGACATTTTTTTTAAAATGAGAGTTTGATATAAGAGCATTTAATTACTTTTACAGCTCCAAGTCATTAGTCTTGTATGGATGGACATTTAATGAGGTTTTTGTACTTTTCTTATTATAAATATTGGCTGCAACAAAACTCTTGGACACAAATACTTGGGCTCATATAAAAAAATTATTCATAGAACAAATTCCTTCCAGTGAAATTGCTTGGTTAAAAGGGACGTACATTTTAAATTTGTTAGATATTGCCAAATTGCCATAAAAAATAACTGCAGAACTATCATTACCACCAACAGTGTAAGAACCATGTTGTATATCACCAAGCTTAAAGTCTTTCTCCATAGTTATACATTATTTTAAAATTTGCACTTTTATAGCTTTGACTAAGGTCAAATGGCCTCTTTGTAAAGTTTGGAGGCACTGGTATTTTGTTTTCTGCAGACTAGCTTATCTTGCTTTGTCATTCCAATTCCAACTGAATACTGTTTTTGGCTATCCTAACAGTTGAACTCCGGGCCTCCCCCATGCTAAGGACTGCAAGACACCCACAGCCCCTAATTCATTATTTTCTAATTTTATGATATTATAATCAGAAAATGTGTTCTTTGGAATACAAGGAGATTTTCTTTGAGTTTAATATATGTTCACTTTTATCAACATGTAATAGGTGCTTAATTATATATATCTATATATCTATGTTTTTTTTCCTGAACTGGCCATAAAGTTTTGGGAATAAGATTTTAAGTATTTATTTGATACAGTATATTATTTAAATACTTCATATTCTTTCTTATTTTTGTTTATTTGATCCAATTGATTGAAAAATTATATTAATGTCTACCACAAAAACTGATTCAGTCAATACATATTTCTATTTGTTGTTATATTTAAAAGCTGTCCTCTTGGTTACATTGCTTCACAGCTATTGGTAGATTGTCATTTTCAGTGTTTCTGAACTGCATTAATATTGTCACTAATATTAATTTTCCCATGTTTGTTTATTGTTGGCATTGTCCCATTACATATTTTCCATCTCTTTGTTTTCAACCTTTAGGGTTTCTCAAAAACAAGTAACTTAATTTTTAACCTAATCTGAGTTATTATCTATTCATGAGAGAATTTCATCCATTAATATTTATACAACTCACAAGCTATTTTTCTTCCTTTCCTGTTCTGTTTTGTGTTGATTAGGATTATTTTTTCCTTTTCTCTTGGTAATTTAGAAAATAAATTTAATTTTCTTTTCTAATGGGAGCTCTTAAAATTTTAATATATACAGCTAAACATGCATTTTTCCATCAATTTTGTTAATTTGCTTTAGTCTAAAATGTACATACCTTTTAACTAAGCAATTTCACTGGAAGGAATATGTTCTATGGATAATTTTTTTACATGAGCCCAAATATTTGTGTCCAAGAATTTTTGTTGCAGCCCGTATTTATAATAACAAAAGACTTTTTTAAAGAAACCCTATATCTTCTTAAATTAGAATGTTACAGGTTATATTTTAATTATTTATGGTATAGCTTTAATTTATTCGACTACAAACCACAGGAAAACGAGGACTTTCTCTTATTCATCTTATTCCTCTTTCTCTTATTCCCTAACCTTTAAATAGGCTCAGCCTTAAAATAAGTCTAAGATATATGTCTATAGGATGAGCCAGTGGCACAGTTAAGAGCTATATGGTTTATTCCTTTTTCTAGTGTAAGAGTAATCAATAAAACCTATAAAAATTACCTGGCATCCCCTAGAATTGAAATCAGACGATACTGAGGTAACTCGGAGGACGCTACATGTGCCAGGATCCCAAAGAGCCTTTCAGCCATTATCATATCGTTCTGGGTCACCTGAAGAGAAGCAATGGAGAGGGCTCAGAAATGACAGCATTTCTTAGCTCGATGAAGTATTCTTTTAGCTGAGGAAAGCACATTTTCTTGGTCTGTAGGGAGAGGGTTTTCATTGCGGTTTCTCCTTCTTCCTTGAGCCTAACCAGAATGAGGATGTACAGTATAAAACACGGCTGCCGGAAGTCGAGAGGGGCGTACGTGTGATGAGTTTGCTCTGACCTATCCGCTGTGTTTCCTGAGAATTATGCTTGAGGCACCTTATATTCTTAAAGACTTTTCTTTTAAGAAACCCTATACTTTCTTAAATTAGAATGTTACAGAGGGGAAACTTCCATAGTGTCGACAGGGGGGACTGATTTTAACGAAGCATCCAAGGTAAACCAGGGTGTTGTCCATAGCTTTTTCCTCAAGAGAAGGAATTCTTACTGGGTTAGCGAGGATGCTCCAGTTCATTCTAAATTTATGGCAGTTCTCTCCCCACAAAGAATAACTCATCACAAGCATACCCTGTGAAGGTCCACTCCTACAGAAACCAACGAAGTACTAAAGGGACTTGGATTAATATCTGGCCATATTTTATTTATAGAATAGGAGTGCTTGCAGTTTAAGTAGCATCAATTTGTCTGCACTCTATAGTTCATAAGGGCCATTTTACTCCCTATGGAACATTCGGCAATATCTGGAGATATTTTGCTTACCACAACTGGCGCAGGGGTGCTGGTGGCATCTAGTGTGTAGTGACCAGGGATGTTGTAAACACCCTACAGATCCATAACTTACAAATACATAACTTTATCTGGCTCAGAATGTCAACTGGAGCCAAGGTCGAGAAACCCTCATAAAGTCAAATTTTGGATCTTTTGAAAATTCATTCTTAACTTTACCTGTAACATTCTTCACAGGCATCTTTTTGAAAAATCAGCACACAGCCATAAACATTTTATATAGATGAATCACTGCAGACTGACTCCCTTCGTGACCGTGGACCTTCATAATTAATGCGGCTGCCGCTCCCTTAACCCTGTTCCCGCTAGCCAAGTAGTTTGGTCCAATATAGTCACCTAGTGGCCAGTGTAGGTCACTGCGCCATCTTTTCTTCATGTTCATAATTGATTTTAATTCCACCTTAAGCAATATTATTTTCTCTTTTATAAAGAGAAATAGAAATGTACAGTACATTACTACATAATCAAAAATTATATGACCAGTTATATTTTAGATCTTTCAATAAAATAACAAATATTCCTAGCATCGGCATTTAAAAAAAATTAAGTCAGAATAAATTACATGGGTCCTAAGTCTGCTCTCTCTCTCTCTATTTTTCCCTTTCTACTTTCTTTCTTTTCTGCTTTCCCTCATCCCAGTTGTTCCTTCCCTTTGAGCAATTTATTTCCCTTTCACAATATCTAGTGTTAAAAATAACAATATGTAATATAACAACCATTGTTAACTCCTATCATCTTGTTTTGAAATCTTATCATTTTTGTTTTTGTGTTGTTTTGTTTTTGTCTTTATTGTTGTTATTTTGTTATCATTCTTTTCTCTTTAAAATAAATAAAAAA